TTATTGTAAACAAATCTAAAATATATTTAGTTGGGTTAGGCTAAAATAAATTGTTCTTGTTGTAATAAGGTTAGGTAAGTTTTCTAAGATTCTTTTGGAGCAAAATTAAAATTTTTAACATTAACATTAATGAAAAAAATATATCTTTGAACGTATAAGAGGAAATTTTAGAAAAGAATTAATTTTAAATGAGTTCTTGCTAATTGACCAGTTTTACATATTCGGCACGACATATATATATATATATATATATATTATATAATATATATATATATATATATATATATTTATATATATATATATATATTATATATATATATATATATATATTATATATATATATATAACACTGATCTCTGGCCGAAGGAGACTCAAACCTACGAACCTTGGAACAAGATACGCAGTGCTTTACCATTCTCACCACACTGGACCAATACCTTGGTGTCCAGCTCATGCTAGACGTTGATCCAAGGCAGCCAGCTTTCAGGCGGGAGGTTTACAGCTTTTCATCTCATCCCCTGCATGCATCCACCAACTAGAGCTTTTAACAATGCAAGGAATTCGCAAGAGCAGGCGAAATGTACACAAACACTGATCTCTGCATGCAAGGGATGAGATGAAAAGCTGTAAGCCTTCTCCCTGAAAGCTGGCTGCCTTGGATCAACGTCTAGCGTGAGCTGAACGCCAAGGTATTGGTCCAGTGTGGTGAGAATAGTAAAGCACTGCGTATCTTGTTCCAAGGTTCGTAGGTTCGAGTCTCCTTCGGCCAGAGATCAGAGTTTGTGTATATTTCGCCTGCTCTTGCGAATTCCTTATATTATATATATATTTTTATTATTTATTATCACACTGGCCGATTCCCACCAAGGCAGGGTGGCCCGAAAAAGAAAAACTTTCACCATCATTCACTCCATCACTGTCTTGCCAGAAGGGTGCTTTACACTACAGTTTTTAAACTGCAACATTAACACCCCTCCTTCAGAGTGCAGGCACTGTACTTCCCATCTCCAGGACTCAAGTCCGGCCTGCCGGTTTCCCTGAATCCCTTCATAAATGTTACTTTGCTCACACTCCAACAGCACGTCAAGTATTAAAAACCATTTGTCTCCATTCACTCCTATCAAACACGCTCACGCATGCCTGCTGGAAGTCCAAGCCCCTCGCACACAAAACCTCCTTTACCCCCTCCCTCCAACCTTTCCTAGGTCGACCCCTACCCCGCCTTCCTTCCACTACAGACTGATACACTTTTGAAGTCATTCTGTTTCGGTCCATTCTCTCCACATGTCCGAACCACCTCAACAACCCTTCCTCAGCCCTCTGGACAACAGTTTTGGTAATCCCGCACCTCCTCCTAAACTTCCAAACTACGAATTCTCTTGCATTATATTCACACCACACATTGCTCTCAGACATGACATCTCCACTGCCTCCAACCTTCTCCTCGCTGCAACATTCATCACCCATGCTTCACACCCATATAAGAGCGTTGGTAAAACTATACTCTCATACATTCCCCACTTTGCCTCCAAGGACAAAGTTCTTTGTCTCCACAGACTCCTAAGTGCACCACTCACCCTTTTACCCTCATCAATTCTATGATTCACCTCATCTTTCATAGACCCATCCGTGACACGTCCACTCCCAAATATCTGAATACATTCACCTCCTCCATACTCTCTCCCTCCAATCTGATATCCAATCTTTCATCACCTAATCTTTTTGTTATCCTCATAACCTTACTCTTTCCTGTATTCACTTTAAATTTTCTTTTTTTGCACCCCCTACCAAATTCATCCACCAACTCTGCAACTTTCTTGATCCCCCAAGAGCACAGTGTCATCAGCAAGAGCAACTGTGACAAATCCCATTTTTATGTGTGATTCTTTATTTTTTAATCCACCCCTTTCCCAAGACCCTGCATTATTTTCTCTTAAAACCCCCATCTAAAAATTATTAAACAACCCGGTGCTCACAATCCTTGCAAAGGCCTATTTTTACTGGGAAATAATTTCCCCTTTTTTCTACTTCTTAATTGGGGCTCATACCCTCGTAAAAACTCTTCTGTTTTTCAGAAACCCACCTCCTAACCATACCCGCGGCATCTGCCCTTGCCCCCCTTCCCCCCTGTCATAGTTTTTCCAAAAATCCATAAATGCCCAAAGACCTCTTAGCCTTATCTAAATATGTTCCCTTTAGTGTACTGAAAAACCCCTGGTCCAAAACCCCCTCCTTTCCTAAAGCCTTTGTTCATTGCTATCTATTCTCCGTCTTCTTTTAAATTTTTAAATAATAAACTTACCTACACTTTCAGGTATATCAAAGACTTATCCCCCTTAATTTTTGCACTCTTTTTTATCCTTTGCCTTTTACAAAGGAAAACATGCATGCTCTCTGCCAATCCCTAGGTACCTTTTCCCCCCTTTCCCTCATTTATTAAATAAATTTCACAAAAAGCTCCAAAATATATCCCCACCTGCTTTTAAATTTCTATCTTTATCCCCTCAATCCGGCGCCCTTTCCCCCTTTCATTTTACCTCGCCCCCAGAATTCCCCCACACTCAAAACTGCCCTTTCCTCACTCCTACAAGATGTTGTTCCTTCTTGCCCTATACACGACATCACAGCTTCCCTATCTTCATCAACATTTAACAATTCCTCAAAATATTCCCTCCATCTTCCCAATACCTCTAACTCTCCATTTAATAACTCTCCTCTCCTATTTATAACTGACAAATCCATTTGTTCTCTAGGCTTTCTTAACTTGTTAATCTCACTCCAAAACTTTTTCTTATTTTCAACAAAATTTGTTGATAACATCTCACCCACTCTTTCATTTGCTCTCTTTTTACATTGCTTCACCACTCTCTTAACCTCTCTCTTTTTCTCCATATACTCTTCCCTCCTTGCATCACTTCTACTTTGTAAAAACTTCTCATATGCTAACTTTTTCTCCCTTACTACTCTCTTCACGCACCCACTTTCCTGTAACCACAAACTTCTGCTGAACACTCTAACACTACATTTTTAAACCTACCCCATACCTCTTCGACCCCATTGCCTATGCTCTTATTAGTCCATCTATCCTCCAATAGCTGTTTATATCTTACCCTAACTGCCTCCTCTTTTAGTTTATAAACCTTCACCTCTCTCTTCCCTGATGCTTCTATTCTCCTTGTATCCCATCTACCTTTTACTCTCAGTGTAGCTACAACTAGAAAGTGATCTGATATATCTGTGGCCCCTCTATAAACATGTACATCCTGAAGTCTACTCAACAGTCTTTTATCTACCAATACATAATCCAACAAACTACTGTCATATCGCCCTACATCATATATTGTATACTTATTTATCCTCTTTTTCTTAAAATATGTATTACCTATAACTAAACCCCTTTCTATACAAAGTTCAATCAAAGGGCTCCCATTATCATTTACACCTGGCACCCCAAACTTACCTACCACACCCTCTCTAAAAGTTTCTCCTACTTTAGCATTCAGGTCCCCTACCACAATTTCTCTCTCACTTGGTTCAAAGGCTCCTATACATTCACTTAACATCTCCCAAAATCTCTCTCTCTCCTCTGCATTCCTCTCTTCTCCAGGTGCATACACGCTTATTATGATCCAATTCTCGCATCCAACCTTTACTTTAATCCACATAATTCTTGAATTTACACATTCATATTCTCTTTTCTCCTAACTGATCATTCAACATTACTGCTATCCCTTCCTTTGCTCTAACTCTCTCAGATACTCCAGATTTAATCCCATTTATTTCCCCCCACCGAAACTCCCCTACCCCCTTCAGCTTTGTTTCGCTTAGGGCCAGGACATCCAACTTCTTTTCATTCATAACATCAGCAATCATCTGTTTCTTGTCATCTGCACTACATCCACGCACATTTAAGCATCCCAGTTTTATAAAGTTTTTCTTCTTCTCTTTTTTAGTAAATGTCTACAGGAGAAGGGGTTACTAGCCCATCGCTCCCGGCATTTTAGTCGCCTCATACGACACGCATGGCTTACGGAGGAAAGATTCTTTTCCACTTCCCCATGGACAATAGAAGAAATAAAGAGGAACAAGAGCTATTTAGAAAAAGGAGAAAAACCTAGATGTATGTATATATATATATATATATTGCATGTGCGTGTCTGTGAAGTGTGACCAAAGTGTAAGTGGGGAGTAGCAAGATATCCCTGTTATCTAGCGTGTTTATGAGACAGAAAAAGAACCAGCAATCCTACCATCATGCAAAACAGTTACGGGTTTTCTGTTTCACAGTCATCTGGCAGGACGGTAGTACTTCTCTGGGTGGTTGCTGTCTACCAACCTACTACCTTATATATATATATATATATTATATATATATATATATTTATATATATATATATATATATATATATATATATATAATTTTCTGGGGGCAAAATTAGTATCAACTATATTATTAGAAAGAGCAGTTTAAATCTATTTCAATAACTGATGGTTTGATAAACTTGAAGATTTCTGTTGGAGTTTAAATTTTGATATAAATCGCAGTTGTACTCAGCTTTTGACTAAACTGTCACCATCAACAAATTACTCTGCCAATCAATGCCGAGGAAGTCTCACACTCGGCAAACTATGCCATACTATTTTTTTGAAAAACGATTCTGTACTTAAAAATTATCCACTTTTAAAGATCCATCAGCTGTTTGAAAAATATAATTCTCTTTGTAGGGATTAATATTCCAATTGCCACTGAGTACTTCGTCAGAAATTCCATTGCAATATTGCCTGTAAATTTTGCTAACTCAGGCCCATGATATTGCTGGCTTTTATTTTTTAGGCCATATAAGTTTTTAAATCTCTGGCAATAACAGACTCGTCGACCAGGCCATCATTAATCATTTCTGGCAACAGGTTTTGCTTCGAGTGTAGAAATACTTTGGTAACCGGTCACAGGCTAATTAACTAGGGCCACTGGTTAATTTTTTTGCATCATCTCGTTACAGGGACATCAGGTATGAAGAGGAGCAGGAGCTACAACAAGTGGCCTGGAGGTTTATGAAGAAGAGAGACAAGGAGAGGAAAGCCAGGGAAGCCAAGGAACAAGCCAGGGCAGAGAAGGAGAAACTCAAGGCTCAGAAGAAGGCTCTGAAGGATCTGCAGAAGTCTGGAGCCAAGAAGACTGTTATCACTCCGTTGCTTGAGAAGGATATGCAGGTGAGACTTGAAGCTGCGTAGTGCTTTCATTTTATCGTCTGTGAATGGATGAGTGGGTGAGTGGATGAGTGGGTGGGTGGATGAGTGGGTGGGTGGATGAGTGGGTGCATGGGTGGATAAGTGAGCGGGTGGAAGAATATTTACACTGAAGATATGTGGACCCTTAGAGTGCTTAACCCGTGTGAGTCATTCATTCAGATATCCTGGGGAATCTCACCTCTTATGTAAGATATTAATTAGACTTGACAAAGCTCTACGCAGGAGGAAACGCTGTCTCCATTCAAGCTCGTTCAGTGAGCTGAGTATACCTTGGTGACGAAAATGGTGTGTAATATTAGATGAGTGCAACTAGGCAAAAAACTAGGCGGGGTGTTATTGGATAGTAAAACTAGGTGAACAACTAAGTGGGTGTTATTAGATGAGTACAGATAGATGATTACACACACACACACAGACAACACACACACACACACACACACACACACACACACGCACACACACACTCACAGCTTCCACCCAACACCCAGCTATAGAATCCCACAGTATGCTGCCAGGTCTCCCACCCTCACGGGCCCCGCAAACCACAGTGTTGGAGAGGAAACTGAAGGTATGGTACTCAAATGCTGATGGAATAACAGATAAGTGGGAGGAGTGGCACGAAAGAGTCAAAGAGGCATCACCAGACATCATAGCTCTCACAGAAACCAAGCTAACAGGTATGATAACAGATGCCATCTTTCCAACGGGATACCAGATCCTGAGGAAAGACAGAGGGAACAGGGGGGGTGGAGGAGTGACACTGTTGATCAAACACCGATGGAATTTTGATGAGCTGGAGAGAGGAGACAGCGGAGAAGAAAGTGATTACATAACGGGAACGCTTCACTCTGGAGGTCCCAAGGTGGTAATTGCAGCGATGTATAACCCACCACAGAACAGCAGGAGGCCAAGGCAAGAGTATGACGAGAGCAATAGAGCAATGGTTGACACACTGGCTCCAGTGGCCAGAAGAGCTCATGCATGCAGGGCAAAGCTCCTGATCATGGGTGACTTTAACCACAAGGAGATCGATTGGGAGAACTTGGAGACCCCATGGGGGCCAAGACACATGGAGGGCTAAGATGATGGAGGTGGTACTGGAAAACTTCATGCACCAACACGTAAGGGACACTACAAGAGAGAGAGGAGAGGATGAACCAGCAAGACTGGACTTAGTATTCACCTTGAGTAGTGCAGATATTGAGGACATCACATATGAAAGACCCCTTGGGGCCAGCGATCATGAGGTTTTAAGCTTAGAATACACAGTAGAGCTACAAGTGGGGGGGGGGAAGCAGGAAGGCCAGGACGAATGAAGCCAAACTACAAGAAAGGGGACTACACAGGAATGAGGAACTTCCTGAACGGGGTTCAGTGGAACAGAGAACTGGCAGGGAAGCCAGTTACTGAGATGATGGAATATTTAGCAACAATGTGCAAGGAGGCTGAGGAGAGGTTTGTATCCTAAGGTAACAGGATTAACGAAAAAGCCAGAATGAGCTCATGGTTCACCCAAAGGTGCAGGGAGGCAAAAACCAAGTGTGCTAGGGAATGGGAGAAATATAGAAGGCAAAGGACCCAGGAGAATAAGGAGAGCAGTCGTAGAGCCAGAAATAAATATGCACAGATAAGAAGGGAGGCCCAACGACAATATGAAAACGACATAGCAGCAAAAGCCAAATCTGACCCTAAGCTGTTATACAGCCACATCAGGAGGAAAACAACAGTCAAGGACCAAGTAATCTGGCTAAGGAAGAAAGGAGGAGAGACAACAAGAAATGACCGTGAAGTATGTGAGGAATTCAACAAGAGATTCAAAGAAGTGTTCACAGAGGAGACAGAAGGGGCTCCAGAAAGATGGAGAGGTGGGGCACACCACCAAGTGCTGGATGCAGTACACACAACCAAGGAAGAAGTGAAGAGGCTTCTGAGTGAGCTAGATATCTCAAAGGCAATGGGGCCGGATAACATCTCTCCATGGGTCCTGAGAGAGGGAGCAGAGGCGCTACGTGTATCCCTAACAACAATGTTCAATACATCTATCGAAACAGGGAGATTGCCTGAGGCATGGAAGACAGCAAATGTAGTCCCAATCTTTAAAAAAGGAGACAGACATGAAGCACTAAACTACAGACCAGTGTCACTGACATGTATAGTATGCAAAGTCATGGAGAAAATTAGCAGGAGAAGAGTGGTGGAACACCTAGAAAGGAATGATCTCATCAACAGCAGCCAACATGGTTTCAGGGATGGGAAATCCTGTGTCACAAACCTACTGGAGTTCTATGACATGGTGACAGCAGTAAGACAAGAGAGAGAGGGGTGGGTGGATTGCATTTTCTTGGACTGCAAGAAGGCGTTTGACACAGTTCCACACAAGAGATTAGTGCAAAAACTGGAGGATCAAGCAGGTATAACAGGGAAGGCACTACAATGGATCAGGGAATACTTGTCAGGAAGACAGCAGCGAGTCATGGTAAGTGGCGAGGTGTCAGAGTGGGCACCTGTGACCATCGGGGTCCCACAGGGGTCAGTCCTAGCACCAGTGCTGTTTCTGGTATTTGTGAACGACATGACGGAAGGAATAGACTCCGAAGTGCCCCTGTTTGCAGATGACGTGAAGTTGATGAGAAGAATTCATTCGATCGAAGACCATGCAGAACTCCAAAGGGAACTGATCAGGCTGCAGACCTGGTCCAGCAATTGGCTCCTGGAGTTCAACCCCACCAAGTGCAAAGTCATGAAGATTGGGGAAGGGCAAAGAAGACCGCAGACAGACTACAGTCTAGGGGGGCCAGAGACTACAAATCTCACTCAAGGAAAAAGATCTTAGAGTGAGTATAACACCAGGCACATCTCCTGAAGCGCACATCAACCAAATAACTGCTGCAGCATATGGGCGCCTAGCAAACCTCAGAACAGCATTCCGACATCTCAATAAGGAATCGTTCAGGACCCTGTACACCGTGTACGTTACGCCCATATTAGAGTACGCGGCACCAGTTTGGAACCCCCACCTAGCCAAGCACGTAAAGAAACTAGAGAAAGTGCAAAGGTTTGAAACGAGGCTAGTTCCAGAGATAAGAGGTATGTCCTACGAGGAGAGGTTAAGGGAAATTAACCTGACGACACTGGAGGACAGGAGAGATAGGGGGGACATGATAACGACATACAAAATACTGAGAGGAATTGACAAGGTGGACAAAGACAGGATGTTCCAGAGATTGGACACAGTAACAAGGGGACAAAGTTGGAAGCTGAAGACACAGATGAATCACAGGGATGTTAGGAAGTATTTCTTCAGTCACAGAGTAGTCAGTAAGTGGAATAGTTTGTGAAGCGATGTAGTGGAGGCAGGATCCATACATAGCTTTAAGCAGAGGTATGATAAAGCTCACGGCTCAGGGAGAGTGACCTAGTAGCAATCAGTGAAGAGGCGGGGCCAGGAGCTCGGACTCGACCCCCGCAACCTCAACTAGGTGAGTACAACTAGGTGAGTACACACACACACACACACACACACAAACACACACACTGTAGACAGCCTGTACTGTCTGCACAGACAGTCATGCTGTCTGCCAGCTTAGTTCATATTTCGCGCCACTCAGGTGCTACCCTCTGGGCCTGTCCAAGTCTGTGGGAAGCTGGTCCCACACTCTCTCACTCACACAGCGGCCTAGCAGGAAGACACAAGGCCTAGTAGCTCTCTCTCGTGGGATGGCCCTCCCAGGCCATGGGCACAACGCACAAGCCTGTGTATCCACCACTACTTTACAAATAAAGTAAGAAGCCTCCGAAGACGTTTATCATTTACTCCCTGCTACCAGCATCACCAAATAATTGGTTATAATTGGTGGGAAGCGGTGGTCGCAGCAGTTGTGTTTGCCTGGAGAGAGGAAGAGGTATGAAGTCATCTTCACTTTATCACCCTATACAAGAAGCATCCGTCTCTCAACGAGTTGTCTTGATGTCGTGTCTGCATGTTCGAGCATCCAGACACAGGTACAAGCAGGATCCAGCCGAAATTTACCGAATTTCTTCGAGAATTGTAAGTGGCGTCCCAGTGACCCCACGCTACAGTGTCCCACGCTTTTTCTCAAGTCATGTGTTCAGAGTCACTTGTATGTTTCTGCTGTTGTTCAGCTGAGCACAGCTATTTCAGCAAGTCAGAGGTGAGTTTTGCAGTGATTTCGGCGTCCAGTGTGTCTCCCTGTGTTTGTGGGTGGGGGAGGAGGAGGAGGAGGAAGTGGCCATTCCTTACCTTGCCCATGCTCGCCCTACTCACACCTCACCAACCTACCACCACACTCCACCACTATGTGTTCACTCCCTCTGCTGTGTTTTCTGCTGTTTTCCATGTGAAATGGTCGCCAGTGCTGTGTATCCGAGTGCCTGAGGCCACTTGAAGCTACGTGGATCAGCATGCCATGTAGATCAGCAAGTCACGTAGATCAGCATGCCACGTGGATCCCGACGCCACGTGGGGTGTGGGCGATGTCACGTGGATCTACAAGCCACGTGAGTTACCGAGCCAGATGTCCCAAGCCTCAAGCTGTGGTCTGCTGCCCGCATCACATTGACGTCACCGACGATGCTGTCCGACTTCATGACGTCACGATGTCTGCTGACATCACCTCGCGATGTCTGCCTGACGTCACCTCGAGATGTCTGCTGATGTCACAATGCTGCTGACGCCACCTCGCGACATCACGCCTGACATCACACATGTCACATCGAGTGTTTCTAGTAATTATTCCAGTATTGTCCAGAAGATTGAGAGAAGATATATGTCGTGTGTTAATTCCTCTCAGTCAGTGTTCTCACATGTTAGTATATAGCTTAGTGTCAGTTTTGTGCACAGAAAAGCATTATTTGCTAGTTTAAGCCATGTTGTACCGCATGTACCGCGGATGTGTGTAGTTTCCGTGTGTCCAGTGAGGTCTGTGGCCAGACCTGAGTAGCACCACTGTGCTAAGTCACCCGATGTGACCAGCACGTTTGACAGCTGACATTACTCAGCCTGAGCCCCGAGCCCCCTTGTACAGAAAGCTCTTATGCTCGTCGCTCATAGATGTTCTGCAGAATCGTACCTGCTACGATTCCCATCGAGATTTGTTTCACTTCACCTCCAGGCCTTCAGAGTGCAGTTATATATAGAGAAACAAGTCTGGGGATGCTTAGACTAACCTCTGCTGTAACTCCAACTGCCGAGAGAATGACACTCGTCAAGCCACAGTTAGCCCTGTCGGCAGGCGCTGTGTCAGCCTCGTGTCAAGCTTCAGTGAGCTCTTGCACAAAGAAGATGTCACTTTGACTGCTAGCTTGCTCACTGCAGTCTGGTGTATGATATTACGACTCCCAGATGTTTCACCCAGCCGTCTCTGCCACGACTCACTCCACGCTCGCTGGCAGTGACAGCCCAGCGACAGTATCAGTCAAGAAGTGTCCTCCTGAGTAGCTTGCCAGAAGTCCTGCCCAGTTGCCGAGTTTTGTCGACGCCTCACTCGAGGGCACCAGCATGTCATGCCCCAGGTTGAGTGAAACCTGCAGCGACTCCTACGATGTGTGCTTCACCATTCCAGAGGAGACCATAACCTGTTACGCCACAGCTCAGCCGCAGCGATATCTCCTGTGTTGCAGTATCTGTCCAGACGCAGGAAGGCGTGCAGTGATGCCCTTCGACGCTCACTGCCTATGACCATGATGTTTAGCGCACCCTACATGTTTTTTTCTTCCCTCCCTGTAGGAAGTTTTTTTTCCATGTCCATATGTATATACATGTTTTTATTTTGTGCTCTGTGCCCTGTTCCTATGAGAGAGAGACCGAGTTTCTTTTACCACCAGTATTTTCGAGTCGGGACGACCCACGGTAGGTGGCCGAGCGAATGTAGACAGCCTGTACTGTCTGCCAGCTTAGTTCATATTTTGCGCCACTCAAGTGCTGCCCTCTGGGCCTGTCCAGGTCTGTGGGAAGCTGGTCCCACACACTCTCTCTCTCACAGCGGCCTGGCAGCAAGACACAAGGCCTACTAGTAGCTCTCTCTCGTGGGATGGCCCTCCCGGGCCATGGGCACAACACACAAGCCTGTGCACCCACAACTACTTTACAAATAAAGTAAGAAGCCTCCGAAGACGTATCATTGAACCCCGCTCCCATAATACCAATTAATCGTGGTTCACAACACACACACACACACACACACACACACACACACACACACACACACACACATCATAGCACTCACAGAAACAAAACTCACTGGGACAATAACAGATACAATCTTCCCACCCAGATATCAGATGCTAAGGAAGGATAGAAGGAGCAGAGGGGAAGGAGGGGTCGCACTCCTAATTAAAAACCGGTGGGGGTTATCAAGAAATTGAAGGAATGGACGAGATTGGAGAAAGGGACTACATAGTAAGTACATTTCAGTCAGGGGAACATAAGGTAGTCATTGCAGTGATGTATAACCCACCACAGAACTGCAGGAGGCGAAGAGAGGAACATGGTGAGTGGAACAGAGCAATGGTGGACACACTAGCTGAGTTGGCAAGAAGAGCTCACTCGAGTAGAGAGAAGTTACTGGTTATGGGCGACTTCAACTACAGGGAGATTGACTGGGAAAACCTGGAGCCACATGTGGGTCCCGAAACATGGAGAGCCAAGATGATGGATGTGGTACTGACAAATCTCATGCACCAACATATTAGGGACACTACCAGAGAGAGGTGAGGATGAACCTGAGTAGCTTAGACATTGAGGACTTCACATATGAAAGGCCACTTGGAGCTAGTGACCACGTGGTTCTGTGCTTTGAATACATCGCAGAGCTACGAGTGGAGAGGGTAACAGGAGTAGAAAGGAAAAATGCCAAACTATAAAAGGGGGGACTACACAGGTATGAGGACCTTCCTGCAGGAGGTTCAGTGGGAAAGAGAGTTGGTAGTTGGTAGGAAAGTCAGTAAACGAAATGATGGACTACGTAACAATAATATGCGAGGAGGAAGAGGAAAGGTTTGTTCCCAAGGGCAATAGAAATAATGGAAAGAACAGAACGAGTCCTTGGTTTACCCAAAGGTGTAGGGAGGCAAAAACTAAGTGCTCTAGAGAATGGAAAAAGCACAGAAGGCAAAGGACTTAGGAAAATAAAGAGATTAGTCGAGGGGCCAGAAACGAGTATGCACAGATAAGGAGGGAGGCCCAGTGGCAGTACGAAAACGACACAGCATCGAAAGTCAAGTCTGACCCGAAACTGCTTTACAGCCACATCAGGAGGAAGACAACAGTCAAGGACCAGGTAATCAAGCTGAGGAAAGAAGGTGGGGAGCTCACTAGAAACGACCAAGAAGTATGTGAGGAGCTCAACATGAGATTTCAGGAAGTATTTACAGTGGAGGCTGAAGGGACACTGGGAAGACAAAACAATGGGGTACACCAACAAGGGATATACCAACAAGTGTTGGATGAAATACTCACAACTGAGGAGGAGGTGAAGAAGCTTCTAAGTGACCTTGATACTTCAAAGGCAGTAGGACCGGACAGCATCTCTCGGTGGGTCCATAGAGAAGGAGCAGAGACACTGTGTGTGCCACTAACCACAATCTTCAATACATCCTTTGAAACTGGGCAACTACCTGAGGTATAGAAGATGGCAAATGTAGTCCCCATCTTTAAGAAAGGAGAAAGAAATGAGGCACTAAACTGTAGACAAGTGTCACTGACGTGTATAGTGTGCAGAGTAATGGAGAAGATTATCAGGAGGAGAGTGGTGGAGCACCTTGAGGGGAACAAGGATATAAACGACAGCCAGCACGGATTCATGGAAGGCAAATCCTTTGTCACAAACCTATTAGAGTTTTATGAAAAGATAACTGAAGTAATAAGTGAGAGAGAGGGGTGTGTTGATTGCATTTTCTTGGACTGCAAGAAGGCCTTCGACACAGTTCCTCACAGGAGATTAGTACAGAAAAGGGTCACTGCAATGGATCAGAGAATACCTAACAATGAAGCAACAGCGAGTCGTGGTCCTTGATGAGATATCACAGTGGGCGCCTGTGACGAGCGGGTCCCACAGGAGTCAGTCCTGGGACCAGTGCTATTTTTGGTATATGTGAACGACATGACGGAAGGGATAGACTCAAAAGTGTCCCTGTTTGCAGATGATGTGAAGTTAATGAGAAGAATTAAATCAGATGCAGACCAGAAAGGACTACAAAGAGACCTGAACAGACTGGACGCGTGGTCTAGTAACTGGCTCCTAGAATTTAACCCCGCCAAATGCAAAGTCATGAAGATCGGAGAAGGGCAAAGAAGACCGCAGACAGAGTATAGGCTAGGCGGCCAAAGACTGCAAACCTCACTCAAGGAGAAAGATCTAGGGGAGATTATAATACTGAGCACGTCTCCGGAAGAACACATTAACCAGATAACTCCTGCGGCATATGCGCGCTTGGCAATCCTGAGAATAGCGTTCAGGTACCTCAGTAACGAATCGTTCAAGACTTTATACACTGTGTACGTCAGGCCCATACTGGAGTACGCAGAACCAGTTTCGAACCCACACCTGGTCTAACACGTCAAGAAATTAGATAAAGTACAAAGGTTTGCAACAAGGTTGGTTCCAGAGCTAAAGGGAAATCGGCCTGACGACACTGGAGGACAGGAGGGTCAGGAGAGACATGATAACGACATACAAAATGCTGAGTGGAATAGACAAGGTGGACAGAGACAGCATGCTCCAGAGATGGGACACAGACATAAGGGGTTACAATTGGAAGTTAAAGACTCAGATGAGTCAAAGGGATGTTAGGAAGTATTTCTTCGGACATAGAGTTGTTAGAAAGTGGAATAGTCTGGCAAGCGATGTAGTGGAGGCAGGAGCCATACATAATTTTAAGACGAGGTATGATAAAGCTCATGGAGCAGGGAGAGGGAGTACCCAGAAGCGGTCAATGAAGTGGCGGGGCCAGGAGCTGAGTCCCGACACCTGCAACCACAATTAGGTGAGTACACACACACACACACACACACACACACACACACACACACACACACACACACACACACAATGGATCAGAGAATACCTGACAGGGAGGTTTCAACGAGTCATGATACGTGATGAGGTATCACAGTGGGCACAGGGGTCGGTCTAGGATCAGTGCTATTTTTGTTATATGTGAATGACATGATGGAAGGGATGGACTCAGAGATGTCCCTGTTCGCAGATGATGTGAAGTTAATGAGGAGAATTAAATCAGCTGAGGATCTGGCAGGACTACAAAGAGACCTGGACAGGCTGGGCACGTGGGCCAGTAACTGGCTTCTTGAATTCAACCCTGTCAAATGTAAATTCATGAAGATCGGAGAAGGGCAAAGAAGACCGCAGACAGAGTATTCGGCTAGGTTGCCAAAGACTGCAAACCTCGCTCAAGGACAAAGATCTTGGGGTGACCATAACACCAAGCATGTCTCCGGAGGCACACATCAACCAAGTAACTGCTGCAGCATATGGGCGCCTGGCAAACCTGAGAATACCGTTCCGATACCTTAATAAGCAATCGTTCAAGACACTACACTGTGTACATCAAGCCCATACTGGAGTATGCAGCACAAGTTTGGAACCCACACCTGGGCAAGCACGTGAAGTTATTAGAGAAAGTGCAAAGGTTTGCAACAAGGCTAGTTCCAGAGCTCAGAGGTATGTCCTACGAAGAAAGGTTGAGGGAAATCGGACTGACGACATTGGAAGACAGGAAGGTCAGGGGAGACATGATAACGACATACAAAATTCTGCGTGGAATGGATAAGGTGGACAGTGACAGGTTGTTCCAGAGAGGGGACACAGAAACAAGGGGTCACAATTGGAAGTTGAAGACTCAGACGAGTTAGAGGGATGTTAGGAAGTATTTCTTCAGTCATAGAGTCGTCAGGAAGTGGAATAGCCTAGCAAGTGATGTAGTGGAGTCAGGAACCATACATAGCTTTAAGACGAGGTATGACGAAGCTCAGGAAGCAGAGAGAGGACCTAGTAGCGATCAGTGAAGAGGCGGGACAAAGAGTCTCGACCCTTCAACCTCAATTAGGTGAGAACAATTAGGTGAGTACACACACACACACACACACACACACACACACACACACACACACACACACAAATACATACCAGGGATAATATAAATCTATACACATCCCAGTAAGAAAAAGTGAAGTTTATTCATACATATTTTAAGTTTTGTTGAAAACAAATTAATTCACAAATAGGAATATTAATATAACTACAGTTATAAATATTTATTTGTTGTGAAGGAAAATGTTGAGTGATACACTGTGGCACCATACACTGTGACACCATACACTGTGACACCATATACTGTGGCACCATACACTGTGGCACCATACACTGTGACACCATACACTGTGACACCATACACTGTGACACCATACACTGTGACACTATACACTGTGACACTATACACTGTGACACCATACACTGTGACACTATACACTGTGACACTATACACTGTGACACTATACACTGTGGCACCATACACTGTGACACTATGCACTGTGGCACCATACACTGTGACACCATACACTGTGACTCCATACACTGTGACACTATACACTGTGACACTATACACTGTGACACATATACACTGTGACACTATAACACTGTGACACTATACACTGTGACACTATACACTGTGACACTATACACTGTGGCACCATACACTGTGGCACCATACACTGTGGCACCATACACTGTGACACCATACACTGTGACACTATACACTGTGACACTATACACTGTGACACCATACACTGTGAC